AACTGTATTACAGAGATTTTCTTATGAATTATTCTTAGCAACAGCTACGTATAATACATAATTAGAGAAATGAAAAGAAAACTGATTTAGAGAACACATTTAGTTCTACTGTTTTTCTCTCATCGCGCTTTTTTAGGAGCTACTTGCTTTTATTGTGATTTGTGTTTGTCTTATTAACGTCCCATGTCTGCTTGTACGAATCAAAGACTTGTATGTCTTTTATATTATATCAACATTGTATTTTTTCCATTTGTGTATTCTTTGGAAAACATACTGCATTTTTCATACAGTAAGGTGCGGGTAATTCGAAGTTCAACTCAAGATTTGTTTTCCCATTTATTTGTATATGGTTGGATAGCATGCACCGAGCTGAGTAAGAAAAGTATTTTTTAATTTTTTAAAACACCTTTTAAGGAAGAAAAATTAAAAAAATTTGAAGGGTCTAAAATTTCAAAAAATCTTTCAATTTTAACAACATTTGAATTTTTTTCTTTGTCGTTCTTCTCACTTTTTGAAAGTATTTTTTAAGATTTAGCATTAAAGGTCGAGTATGAGAATGATGCTTGATGGAGGTCGATGTCATGACATCGACCTCCATCAAGCATCATTCTCATACTCGACCTTTAATGCTAAATCTTAAAAAATACTTTCAAAAAGTGAGAAGAACGACAAAGAAAAAAATTCAAATTTTTGACAAATGTATTTTGCTGGGATTGGTAGATCAGATCTTCAGAATCAGTTTAATACTTTAGAGTAACTCGAAGTATATATATCACTGAACCTCGACGTTCTTTCTCGAATGGATCTTCGTCCATGAAAAAGTATAACTCTAAATACAACTAGACGGCAATCACGCTAGCGAGAGTTGTGAATGTGAATGCAGGAATAAGAGAATGAAGGAAACGGCAACAGAGAACGCAGTTTTTTTGAAAGAAGAGCTGAAAAGAAGAAGAAAGTATTTGTGTAAATTTTAGAGAATTTCGGAAAAAACAGAGTTTGAATTCTTTGTCTTGACTTGAATACAAACCCGGAGAGAGATAGAAAATCGAAATTGATCAATTTCCTTCCCTACAAAAAAATATTTTATTGGCACTGGTTGTACATGGGTGCGCACCGGTGCCGATTAATTTTTTTTCTGGGCACCGATGTGCATCAGTACCGGAAAGAATGAAACAAATAAAATGAAACAAAAACAATGAAAAAACTAATTAAATTGATTAAATAAATTATCAGTGCGGCACTCTTTCGGCAGAAATATATCGGCACTGATTCGGCACTTGCTGGGCACGGAGGCGCACTGGTGCCAGCCAGTGCCAGTGACCAATGGCATGCCAAGCGCACCGGTGCACACTGATTTTTACTAGTGCCGCACTGGAATTTTTTTTATAGGGCTGTTAAACAAACGTTCTACCATAATTGTACTCTCCCTTGCAACTATGCTCTAACCATCATCATAACCTACAGATTAATATCATACTGCGTTATTATCTATAACACAGTAATTACTGTGTTATAGATAATAACGCCTTAAGGCGTCTAGTGGCTAGTCATTGCGTTAATTATTCGTTGAATACATATAGAGCATGGTCATAAAGTGAATTACACGATATGCGAACAGACTGCTTTAAAAGTGCTAGTATGACTCAGATTAATTATTAACTGTTTTTTAAAAAAAACTGCTAATCCCAAACGTTCAAAACACCTTCTTTAGAGCCTTATGGTTAATGACTGGATTAGCCACAAAGTCTCAAAAGAGGACATTTACTAATTCGATCTCACAGCTCACTGCTCCCGTTTAAAATTTTACGGTAGCTCTTCTAGTTTAGAAGAAAATCGTTACAGAAAATGATAGTTTTGTACCGTAGAAAGTAAACACGCAGTTTATTACTAGAGCACGATCTCTGCTTCGCACCGCATTAAAAAGATGAAAATTGATTTTCATACAGTTCAGATACCTAAACGCTCTCTATGAAAGTGTTCGTTATCCGGATTATAAAAGTTTCAGAGCATTTTGATCAATATTCATTATTTTCTTAATAATGTGCATATGACACTTACTTCTCTCATTTCTTCCTTTGTTTTTCTCCGTACCAAACTGTCATTACATAAAAACGAAGTTCTATTTGTGTTTACTCGCGAAACCTTTGAACTCGTATATGATCATGCATGATCGACCCAGGGCGAAGAATCTTGAAATATGATCTTGTACGTTCATACAAGATCTTGTAAGATCATATTATAAGATACCACTAGATTTCACAAGATCTTACAAGATCATATGAAAATCTTACAAGATCTTACAAGATTCCACAAGAATCTTGGTTCAAGAATCTTATAAAATTTCACAAGATTTTTCTTACAGCAAGACCTTGCAAGATCTTGTAATAAGATTTTATATGACCTTGCGAAGATCATATAAGATTATGTCTCTGATTCTGTACTATAGCTCCCCTATAGACCCTCTTTAAAAAACAGCTTTTTTCTTTTCATAATATTTACGAGCATAGGAAGGACCCTGACGTCCTTAGTAACGTGTCTAACCACGTTTCTTATAGCCATGCACTTTATTTGTGCTCAGCTGATGTGTGCAGTTGAAGAAAGAAAAAATTCTAAGTTTCATCATAAGAACTATGTTTTATATATACTATATATCGTTGCAAAATTTATGTGGTAAGAATGAATCATCGCTTCTTGTAAGATCTTATAAGATCTTGTAACAAGAAATCGTATGATCGTGTGATAAGAACTGACAAGATCTTGCAAGATCATATAACTTCTTGTTACAAGATCATATAACTTCTTGTTACAAGATCTTATAAGATCTTAAGATTTCTTATAAGCTGATCTTGTAAGATCTTACAACAAGAAGTTACAAGATTCCGTAATCTTGGGATAAGATCTTACAAGTTCTTGCCAAAAGATCTTGCAGCAAGATTGCATAAGAAATCGTCAGATCTTATAAGATCTTGTAAGACGTCTTTCCCCTGGGGAGTTGTTCTTTCAAGGTATGTGTCATATAATAGTGGAATCGCCAGTAGAAATGTATATGACATGACTGTCACGATAACGGCTGCGATATTGCTATGATCATTTACATAAAATACTCGTTACAGCCTTTCACACTAGAAAAAATTGAGTAGAAAGAAAATATTTTTTCAAAAAGAATCTCTGTGATATTTGAGGTAGAATTTGGAAGGAATAAGTCATAATTAATGAATAGGACTAATTGCATTAATTTCCTTCTGTGCTCGTGCTTAAATTCATTCGAATGGGAAAAATGTGTTTTGATCACCAAAAAAGTGATTTTTGATCACCAAATCAATTAAAGAAAATATATACAAAAAGAATATATAGTAATTTAATAGCAAATAATACCCAGCATTATTACAATATATACAAGTATAAATAGAAATATGTCAACAGGTGACGATTATTGAAATTTTGTTGCCAACGGTTAAGTTTTTCGAAATCTTATCGGTTTTGACAACTCACAAGAGCTATAAATAACTGCCCTAAACTACAGATGATACAATCAAAAAAAAAATATGGAAGTAAGAATGGAAAGTATTACACACAGCTACATCGTCCGATGAAGCGAAAGAATACGCAAAATTACACTTTAATGTTTGCCAGTATCATCCATCAGATTTAAAAAATCATAAAAAAACCAATAAAATTTCGAAAAACTCAAAAGTCACTTTTTTGATGATCAAAAAAAATTGATACCCATTCGAATTGTTTAATTAGGGACAGAAATAATTGACTAGAAAACAACTTTGTCAATATTTTGTGTAACTCCTCCCCTGAATTCCTCTGAAAGAGGAAGAACAAGGAGTGAAGGTTTGTACAGGGAGATTATGCCGGAAATTTGAAAATTTTATTCACCATTTTATTCACAAGCTAACGCGGACAAATTTGAGCGAGTAAATGTACATTAACGTTTCAATGGAGAAGTTACACTGTAGATCCAAGGTCTGCGCTGATAAGCTTTTCTAAAAGATTTTTATGTGATCATGATCAATAAATCTTAGTTACACACATCTCTTAGTATGAGCCAGTAAATTGCAAAAATTATTGTTTGCTCTTACAAGTTAGCCTCGTTCTTCATAAGAAGTGCCTTATTTAACCTTGTATAACAGAAAAGCTTTATTTTAACCTTAGTATATAGAAAAACGATTTTTTTTATACGGTGCCGACAATTTGAAAATCAAGTAGAAAAAATGTTGTCTTTTTTTGTTATAGTTGGATAGAGCTCGTCGAGCTACATAGAAAAATGTCATTTGTAAGGTTTCAAACATATCACAATCCACGTCAAAAACTGAGTTATAGAATATTTGTTCCAGACTTTTGACAGAACTTTGATTTTTCAAGAAAAGACTTAATTCTGATGGTGAAAACTGCAAAATACCAGCATTTTCTTGGTTGTTGTCACTGGTTTGGAAAACATTAATTTTGCATATTATAAAACCGTTTTGTAATTTTTTTCCCATAGATATGATAGTTAGAATGAAGTAAGGAGAATTGCTCTTCATTGCATCTATAAAGACTTAATTGGTTTGTAAGATACAGGATGGGATTCTCATCTGTTCTGCTCCTATTTAATTTAATTTTCATTAGATTCTATACTCAGTTTAACAAGAAGAATCAGAATAAAGCGGCTTTGAAAATTAAAAAAAGCAATAAAGATGGAAACTTTGATCATTTTTAAAAATTTCACCTCATTTGAAAAATTTTTCGTATGAAAATCGTTTTCGAAACCTTAAACATGATATTTTCTTATGTAACTCGACGAGTTCTATCTAACCATACATAGCAAAAAAAAGACAATATTTTTTTTCTAGTTGATTTTCGAATTGCCTCGCCTCCACATTAAAAGAAAAATATATAATACCAGCAATGAATAATGTATTTAACCAGCCATCAAATAATAAATATATTTTGCATTAAATTGTTGTACCAGTTAATTTAATTTAATTAATCTTTTTAATATTTGAGTGAAATTAAGTACTTTCAGAGGAAATCCAGTGATCTTGATGACTAGTATACCATTCAATTGTTTTTTGTATTCCTTCATCGAATTTTACCTGTTGTTTCCAGCCAAGACCTTCTAGTGCATCAGTCATAACTGAATAACGACAATCATTAAAATATCTGTCTTTTACATGAATAATAGCATCTTCTAGTTTGATATCTGGACGCATTATTTTCAATAGTATACTTGCGATATCCATAACTTTAAGTTCATCTTTTGAACCAATATTATATATCATTTTTAGTTTTCCTTTACGAAGAACAATATCAACAGCTCTAACGGTATCATCGACAAAAATAAAATTTCTAACATGACTACCGTCGCCATGAATAGGCATTTTTTCTCCACGTAATATTGTCGTGATAAATCGTGGAATGACTTTTTCGGTAAATTGATATGGACCGTAGACGTTATTGCCTCGCGTAATTACATATGGTAATTTAAAACTTTCTCCATACGATTTGACTAAAAATTCAGCAGCAGCTTTAGTTGCGGCATACGGATTAGTCGGATTTAACACAGCTGTTTCATGACAGCTACCTAAAATTAAAGAAAACAAAAGCAACATAAGATCGAGAAACTTATGCGATAAGTTTTGTGGTTATAAACTCATAAATTTATTTTACAAATTAGATTAAAATTAAAGACATTTCAGAAGATATCGTCTTCCTTGTTCAGTTTAAGAAACAATTGAACTGTTTTGAAAACACACACTGTACACTTTTATATTTTTTCTTTTCTTTTTCTTTATACTTTTTTTTATTTCTTAATAGTCGAATGGACGAGTAAGAGAACGGTAGAACAGACGAAACTATTCTTACGTAATTTCTTCTTCGTCCGTACCACCATTACCGTCACGTTGTTTATTATGCTTTGACTGTCTCTTTGATCGTAAAAATTCAAAACCGTTCAATTGTTTCTTAAACTGAAGCAGGAAGAAGATATCTTCCGAAACGTCTTTAATTTTCAATATAATTTGTAAAATAAACTTAAAACAGGAAGAGTTTATAATCACAAAACTTAATTCAATGACCTTCCAAACTAGTACGTAACTTATGCGATAGTTCCGAACTTTCATCATCTCATTTGTCGTTGACAAGGAGGTAAATTTTTGATTAAAGATAAAATAATCATAACTAAAAACACTTACCAGCCGGCCATTCACCATAAACTTCATCGGTGCTAATATGAATAAATTTCCGTAATTTACCATAGATTCGAGCCGCTTCTAATATACAATGTGTTCCGAATATATTTGATTCAGTAAATAAAATACTATTACCAAACGATGTATCAACATGAGTTTGAGCTAAAAAAGAAAAATTGACGATAATATTTTTTTTACAAATGAAATGATCTTGTTTTACCTGCAAAATGTACAACATGCGTTATTTCATACTGTTTCATCAAATGTAACATTAAATCTTTATTATTAATACTAGCCACAACTAGTTTATAACGAGATGAATCAGAATGTTCAATATTTTTAATGTTTGAGCATGTATCCAATTTATCAACGTTAATTATATTATCTTCAGGATAGGTGTTTAACCAATGATTAATAAAATTACTTCCAATAAAACCACAACCTCCCGTAACAAGTAAATTTCTTGAATCATTAGAATCTTTTGAAACTGTTTTTAATGCACGATGTATACATATATTTTCAATACTTTTTTCTAAATCTGGTAATGTATGTGGTGCATAATATAGATTACGTGCTTCAAGTGATATCATTTTAATCCATTGTTCAAATTTTTCTGTAGATAATACATTATTTGAACGTTTTGCAGCCAAACGAGCACTTTGTTCATTCATAGGCTCTAATACATAATTTAATTGTTCACCTGTTTTCTCAGAATATGTTTTTAATATCCATTCGTGATCAACAAAACCTTTATTACATGCATTTATACAACCGCTAAATCTTCCATCATGAGTTATTGCTAATAAAATTGGTAATATATCAGACATAACTGTCATACTATTAGGTAAAGATGTTATTTTTCGATAGCCAAGGATTTTTGAGATAAAATCTCTTGGATTTGGTTCATCCGATACTGGCATTCGAATTCGTGCACTATAATAGAAACAACTTTGATTAAATTTTATTCTGTTATAAATTAATTCTTATTCATCTTTTTAAAGTAAATAAATATCTCGACTGTACTCTATGTAAATATTACATACTTTATAACGTGTGGAAAAGCGTTAAGTAGAAGATCGGTAGCTCCTTTGACTGTACTGTAGGATGAACCAAAAAAATTTGGTGGATCACTTTCTGTAAATGGATGCGATAAATCATTTGAATCTTCATATTCATATATACATCCAGTACCAATATAAAGCATAGGAATTGGACTTAATAAGTTTGAATGTTGTATTGTTGCTTGTGCAATAAACATGGGAGCAAGAAGATTATCACGAATATTATCTTTTAACTTTCCAGGTTTTTCTAAATAATCAATATTTGGTACATCTTCACCATGTGTTCGACCAAGTGTACAAATAACACGATCTGGCTTATGTAGTTTTATATCTTCTTCAACATCTTTTAACGTCGTAATACGTCGTCCAGCAATTACTTTTTGTCCAGCAATATTCAAAATTGAATGACACTGTCCACCAATCCATCCAGATGATCCATAAATTAACCACAACATTTTTATTCTATGATTAAAAAGTTATACTATTGTTCAAAGAATTCTTCTACTTTAAAACAGAATAATAGTTTAATATATATTCATTTCATCATGATTGAAAGTCTTTTTTTAACTTTATACTTAAACTTTTTACAGTATACCTTTTTTTTTTTCCTCCCGCTCTTACTATTAAATATTTTTTCTCATGTTCTTGTGTATCTAGGAAAAAGTATTTCTTGTCCTACATTTATCGTGTACAAGAATAGTATTGAGAAAATGACTTAGATCCTGATAAAATTATTAATTTAATAAAGCACTTTTAAAGTAATGTATTCTATTTTATAGCGCCTTCTTTGATATTGAATCTTCTAGAAATTGAATGAGAGTTACTTACATTCTCCTATGTCTTGTAATTTCCTTGATCTCGAAACTGCACTATACAAAAATCTACTGCTTAGCACCCGTCTGACATGTGGTGCATAATCAATATCTTTTGTTTTTCATTAAAAAAGAAAAAGAGATTTTTTTTTATAGAAAAAAAAAAAAAAATAAGTATCACGTGCATGCGTAGACATAATTTTTATGTATACATTTTTTGAACTTTTTTTTCCCGGCTTCAGAAAGACATCAAAAAAATTTTGTCTTTTTTTTTTTCGCTCACGGTGCATAAAAGAACAAAAAAGCGCACCACTCAACCGTAAGAAAGTACTAAATTTTGCTATGCATCTTATAGTATTTGATATATAGTAAAGAAAAGAATTTAACCAACACCTACTTTTCTGACAGTTTCTTTTTCTTTTTTAAATAGAAATAACTGTTTGTATGTATGTGACTATATGAATTATATATCCTTTACAGAAATAAAAAAGAAAAAAAGTCGTATTCTTTTTTCTCTATTTTTGCATCAATTGAGGTTTTTACTTCATTTTCTTTTTTTTTTGTATACATTTGCATGTCACAGAAGGTTAAACATCAAGAAACAATAGCCTGGTATTGAGCTAATCCAAGATTTTTGATGAATAAACTTATGTAATGAACATTATAGTTACAGTTTAGTACACTCGTAGCTATAGTTAATACAATTGATACATTGAAAATAGTATCACTTTCAAAAGTACTTTTTAAAATAAATAAAATTTTTCTTTAATTTTATTTTTTTTTGAGTTTAAAGCAAAAAAAAGAGATTGTTGAATGGTATATGATGGATAATAATGAAACGAAAATATTTTTTTGTATTTGAGAAAAATGTGATATTTTGTCTAAATTGAATTGAATATTTTTAATCCACACTATTTACAGAATTTAGGCACATAATTATTTTTGTTTAGTAATTAAAAATTTCAACTTATGAAAAGATAAAAACAAAAAACAAACGATAAAGGAAGCACAATTTGGAGAAGAAAAAAAGAAAAGAAAACATAAAGAAAAATAAAACGTTAGTCTAACCATTTGGTTTAGTTTAATTTTTAAAATTAGTTGAAACTATGCGTATTTCATAATCAGAAAACAAATAACACATTCATCACCAGTAAAATTGATAACATTGTAGACGATTTTGATTCTAAAAAAAATCATAAAATAAAGTATAGACTGTAATTATTCATGTCATTAATAAAAAATATTCTACTTACGTAAAGACGCATGCCCGGGAAGATAGTTACCACATGGTGGTGGTACATTTTGAGGTTGATCACATTTATTTGTATATATATTAAACTTTTGATTATTATGACATGATGCTTCTCGCGCTTTTACTTGTCCAACACATTGAAAAAACACTCGACATTCTCTTTCCGTGTCTGGAAATATACCATCTCGTCTACCATTACATTGATTTTTATCGGCTAAATTGACCGATCTTGTACCACAAAATACTTTAGAAAATAGATCACATCCTTGTTTTTCAATATCAAATAATTGTTTTTCAGGACAAGATAATTTTGTACGATGACCATTTTCACATTGATAATAAGCATTACATTCATTTGGATCGGGTATATTATATGAGCCAACCGGTTGACATTCGACTGTTTGATCTCCACCTTTAGCAATTCCTGATGGTGTTATTGAATTTATTGTTGATTCTGAATCTGACTTTTTCTTCAACGTAGTTGATCCTACAACATAATCTTTAATAATCACAATATGTACTATAAGTATTCAAAACACTATAAATGGATAAATAATTGTGTCATGCATTTATTCATTCAAAGTGCAACATTAAAAGAAAATTAATTTATATATAAAATCTCGTTGATATATACCAACAATTGATGTAATTGATTATTGATTATTCAAAAAGACGTGTACTATTATTCAATCAAAAAACAAAAAATAGATTGGTGTTCTTTTCAATAAGCAAAACTCTATATGTACCTTTTTAGCAATCTCACTGCTACTATCACTGAAACTTACGTTCTGATGTTGTTGAATAATCCAATTTTTTCGCTTCACAATTAACATCATCAATCCATTTACACGATGATGTCTTTTCATCCCAACCTGTACCCTGAGGACATTCAAACAATTCTTCTATACCGTGTGAACAACGGTAATATCTCGTGCAATATTCTGGATCACTAAAAGATCCATAGTTATTTGTACGAAAAAGTTTTAAAAAAAGAATTAATTCTTCACAATATGATGTGATTTTTTTTATTATAATCGTACCCAAAAAATCCATCTCGTCCACCACATAACATATCATTTATAGGAATTAATTGATATAATGAAATAGTATTTAAAAGTAAAACTGTAATGAAGATGAATGGTATATGTCGATAACATTTTAAAACGATTGGAATAACAATGAACAATTTCGAATGATATGATTTGTTTTACAATTGTTTTTATGAGACATTTCGTGCATATTTGATATAAAGAATAAATGCGCTAAGAAAGAAGTCTATCATGCTTTTATTCTATCATGCATTATGATTGAGAATATTCGAACAAAAAAAATAACAATTATCTTACGATCATCTTGTTCATCATCTGGTGGTGGCTCTGATTTCGCTTTTTTGCCTAATTTACCAGCTTTTTTTGTTACTTTTTTCTTTAATGGTAATTTGTCTGATTCTTCATCTTGCGATGTAGGATTATCATCATTACTGTCAAATTCATCTCCCTCATTTGATGATGGAGTTTCAGTCGTTTCTTGTCGTAAACAATCAACATTATCTAACCAATCACAACGATTTTCATGATGATTCCAAGCTGTACCCGAAGGACATTCATACTAGAAATTAGCGTTTATTTATTAGTTACTCACGCTGAGTTTTTGTCTGCAATTTTTAGTGAAAAGAATATAAATTTTTAATGTCGTCAACGACTACGAACCTCTTCTGATGTTCCATAGTTACATCTCCAATAAATATGGCAAAACTCGGGATCAAGATAAAACCCATCATCTTTCGATGAACAATCTATTTCAGCTGAGACAATAAGCAGCCAATACTGTATGTAACAATAAATATACCATATTTGACCTAATGCTAAAATGCATAGAAGTAAGCGAAAAGAAAGCTGTCAATATAAGCAAGAAGTTATTCAGCTGCTAAAGATAGCGGAACATTAGAAAAATATCAGCAACATGAAACTACCAACAAAATACAGATGTAAAGCCAACAGAGACAGCTAGATAACAAATAGGAATGACATAGAAATAAATTTTGATAATTCACCTATCTATAGATTCTTGGACAAAGCACATTTCTTGAGATAGATCAATATCAATATATATGTATATCTCTCAAATTCTACTTGTTTGAAAATAATTACAGATAAGAAATTGTGCAAAGTTATTCTTGTTTTTAGCATATATATTCTTACCAATTACAAAGGCTGATGTTGCAGACCACAGCATGATTCAATTCTTTACTCTTTTAACTTTCAAAAAAAAAATCAAGTGATCGATTATTAACTTTGACTGAAAAGATTTGTGGAGAAAATAAGAATAGAAGTATATTTATTATCTGAACATGTTATTATGATGTAATATTTTTTTTCATAAACTTACATATATGCATAGTTTACTTCACACCATGAATAAAAAACCAACGAAAAATTCTTTTTGATATTTTCATTGTAGGTGTGATAGAGAATCGAGACCGGATATTGATGTTAGGAGTTCATTAATCAATATTTGGCCTATCTTCTTCGGTGAATGAAATGTATAAAAAAGAATGTTTGTTGAACAAGATATATCTATTCAATATCCGGGTAAAAGACACCGTACGCCGTTAATTCTTTCGATCTATATATCTTCGTCATTTGTCTTACGACTTTTTAACTATCTTATTTAACTAGAATAAAGAATAAAAAAGAAAAGAAGAGAAGACAATATGACTTAGAGATTAGTCAAATATATACATATGAACGTTCGTCCACATATTATTGATGATAGACAGTCTCGGAACTATTTCTTTTTTTCGTTATTTGAACGAATAAAAATAAAAATGGTATGTTTACACTTATATTACAAACAAACAAATGAATAAATAAACGTTACGTGTTCAATCGTAATGATAAGTAAAACAGATAAAATTTGCTATATCATACTTTCACGAGTAGTATAGTAAAAGTATACAGCAATTCCTGATTGTACGCACATTATGTAAGAAAGATTGTTAAACTCGAACGATGCTCGTACAAATTTGAAATTAACTCATACATTATACACAAAAAGAACTAAAATTTTATCCATATGAATAGAACTGGTCGATAGGATCTCAGTATCACTAATCAAAAGTAAACGTTTAACAAGTAGGAACAAATTCAATACGTCAACAAGTGGCAATTCAGAGCATACAAAGGCATGTGTTTCTTATATATTTCTCGTTTTGAGACATGCTTACTTCATCGTTGAATTCAACATATAGAGCCTTCTTATTTAATGAGCAACAGTTTGAATTTACGCGAGTTATCCGTTTTTAGTTGATTAGTCGTTTTAGAAGAATCTCTTTGATTAACCCATCAAGTTAATTTTTTTAATTAAAAACAAATGTATAAATAGAAACACCTTCATACACTTTGAAAAAAACAGAAAAAACAATTTTTCATATTCATCTTGTTTTTCTATCCACGGTCATTGATTTTTTCATTTCTATTAGTATTATGGTTCACTACAACTAATATCTTTCATATGTGTTTGAATAAATTTCTTAACAAGTTCCAAATCCGATTTTGCAAATGATTTTAATGCAAAACCAAATAATAATTGTTTTTTTAAATGAAGACTTTCGTACAAATGTCTTGCAAAAAAATGATATTCGGCCTAGAAAAGTAACACAAACTGTCACCAAATATAATTATACATGTTTAGGTCTTACCTGATCCTTGCCCAATAATGACTTTACAGAATAAACTGGCGTTGAATCTTCGGCTAAATTGACGTCTCGACGAACAATTACCTTTAAGAAAAAGAACATCTATTTCTTATTGATGAACAATTATTTCCTAGACAACATCTAATTTACCAAACTACCAATTTTTCCAAATTGTGTAACAGAAATAAACAACTTATTATCAAAATCCGATATAACTAGATCAGTCACAACATTGTTTAAAATCGATTGAGCCTGAATAAAAAACAAAAATCTATGATTATCATCGTACAAAACAGAGTTAGCTTTCCTATACCGTCAGTGTCCGTGGAAATTTTGTATCCATAACAAGCACATTAATCTATGATTCTATCTGAAATGAAACAACAACACGTCACTACAATAATCATGATTTTAGCATTTTAATTACGTCGACTCTTTTTAGATGTCTTGCACTAGTTAGGAAAGTTACTTGCATTGTCTTTAAATTGCAGAAACTATTGTTTTATTTTAGCTTTCTCTGTCTTGAGCATAATATCATTTTCGATAATATGCTTGACCGATTAATTTATTCAGTACTAGACGTCTGTCAAGTCTACTAGAAGTTCAGTAGTCCATTATCAACGATGAGTCCACTCTTCTTCCACAATCAGAGAAATTTTGAAAGCACAAAAACACCCCATTCAAAGGCGTATTTTTCTATATCTACATTACATTTTCCACCGATGCAGAGACTTCGACAGAACTCTGATTCAAATTCTAACTTTGATGGTATGCTTTGTCGCAGTTAAACAACGGATAAATTGAATAATCCAAAGTTATAACTTTAATGATAATTTAACGTAGTTGAAATCTATAATCAGATGGGATGATTGATTGTTTCTTCCCTCAAGAGTTTTATTTCTTATTTATCAAGGAAGGAACAACCGCAAATATTACCTACGCAGACGTGACAATCTTGTATTACTGAACATAGAGTTCATCCGAAATTGTGATGTACAAAAAAACCCATTCATTAAAACAATATTCTGTCTGTTTTCTATCACATACAGTTGAATGATGATGACATCTGCTTAAATATACAACGATTTGTTTTAAATCCACCTTTTCATTTACATTTCACATTTCTTGATCCGCTATTTCATCTGCTATTGTCCTTTAATTGATGGCTAAGAAATAAAACTCTTGAGGAAAGAAACAATCAATCATCGCATCGGATTATGGATTTCGTCTATGTTAAGTCATAATTGAAGTGATAACATTGACAAAAAATGTAATTTAGATCCGACAAATTTATTAAGGCAAAAAAACTAAATATAATACTACTAGAATAATATCTGTTCAGTTAACTGACAATGGTAGAAAATAGTCGATATTTGGATGTAGTTTTGAAACGTTGGTGGAAAGAGGAATATCAAAGATAATCGGATCGTTAACAGGTTGATACGATCGAGTGCATAATGATGCATTAATAAAGTGAGTATGACCATTGGTATACGAACCATAGCCTTCACGGTTATGTCCAAAAATATGAAATCGTGGACCCAGACGACAAGCGACGGTTCCAAATAAATCGACATCACCAATGTGTCCAGAACTAAAATTGAAATCACCATGACCTAATGGTGGCATATGACTTATTAAAATATCAATTCCACGAGGTATTTGATTCCATTTATCCATGATTTTACTTCTTGGACAATGAAATGCAGCATTTTCTACTGCAGACACCCTACAATTGAAAACAAAGATTTATCCGTTAAAGGATGAGTTTTTGATTCAAAGTCATCATTTTGTTCTTTTAAAAGTTGAATTGTCTCAAAAATAAATCATCAATCGTAGGATGACTCAGAGACAATAAACTATTATCAAAATATAATATACCATGGAGTTCCATAGAACTTAATGCCACAAATTTCAACTCCCATGTCTTGCAAATAAATGAGTTCTGTGAAATATTGTGATACATGTTGAAGTCCAAGTAAATGAAGTTGTTTCCTTATTTCATCTCGATTACATTTGTTTCTAAATAAAAGAAAGAGAAGAATAAGAAAGCATTCCAAATATATAACAGTCAGGTAAATTGAAGGTACTTTTGCTGAATAGAAAGAATTGACAAATAGAATATGCTTTAGATGAGATTCATGCTATGAAAGGTAAAATCGAAGCAAAGAGCAAAAACTCATAGGTTTAATATTATAAAAAACCAGACGAAACAACTCATGGTTAATAATAGACAGATGACTTAATTTGCACCACGCAAAACAGAACAGTTAATGGGCATTATGATTTACAAGATGTGTTTTATCTTACGCTTGTTCCAAATCAAGATTGTCCAAATTGAAACATAAGTCGGTGTTACCGGCAACAAAAATTTTGTGTTTAGGTGGACAGTCTCTCAACGTATTATTAAATCTAACGATATCAGTCCATTTTGAATCATGTGAAAAATTGCCCTTAATGAAAAAAATATACTTGAAGACCTTATTTCATTGAAATATCATGTAATGAATTAAACATATTTACATTGATTATTAATACATCGCCTTTTGGAACTGTATCGGAAAGACGGACGGTATTGTTGAAAATATCAGACACACATACAACACGTAACTTAATTATTAAAAAACAGACATATTTATCAAAAGAAAATGATTTGATTATTACATACATTATCTGATGATGCATAACTTTTTGCTTTCGGTAGCTTTTCAAATTTATGATTTTTTGATAATTTCTGATAGACCTTGTTTGGATCATTTGCTAGACTATGCGATTTTAGTTGAATGTTACTAGTATTCGACATTCAAGCCTAAAATAAAAAGTAAAACTGGTATGTAATAAGCTCAAATAATTTTTTATACCCACAGACGTTAAATGGCATCAAACATTGTGCCATCATCGCTTTAAATATCTGAAACGAGGTTTGGTACTTCTACAGATCGATCACACACTCACACTCCACAGTGTGGAGTCCACACACACCATAGTAGGGGGTGTGATCGATCTGTAGAAGAACCCGAGGTTTAAAGCGAAACCAAACTAGCAAGGTATAAAAATTTGTTGTCGCTGATCTTAGACATAAAACTGACACATAGTAAACAGGAGATAAAACAAAACACTTACAAGTCGTAGTGAATAACGAAAGGAACGCACACCATAATTACAAAATATTTAAATTAAATTAAATTCTATCGAAATGTTATGGATATTGAAAATTGTTCTGAAATGATTGGGTTGTACTCTCAAAAGTTGTGAGTCAAAACTCGAAGATGAAAACAGAAAAAAACAATAAAAGTTTATCCAATATCATTGGACCTAAAAATCATCAATGATAAGTGTTGCTGATTGATAATGTGCTTTAACGACATCTCGTGACTGAATGGTTTTACTTACGCTCACAGAGACAAACGTTGGTCAACACTTCAAATATATATTAAAATAAAAAAATGTAAAATTAACCAATCAATAACAAGCGAAATATAGAAATGAGATTCAAAACACATTAGGACTGTTACCGCCAAACTGTTTCTATAATCTTGAAATAACGTTCCCAGATTATTATGTTAGTTACGATGCCCATAAAACGGCGAATTACGATCGTGTACTGTAATGTAACACGCCGTAAATGGCCGTAACTTAGCCGTAATCCTATGCTCCGTAACACTGCAACCGTAAACAACCTTTTACGGCCGTAATGGACCTGTATACGTTCGTTTGCGGCGGCACCCAGGTCAAACGGGATGGCGCGTTAACGGCCAGTTTACGGTCATCTAAAAAAACGATGTGAAAACGGCGTAAAAACGCTCCGCTAAACGCCGTTTCAAGAGTGTCAGCGCATAGTCTAAAACCGGACCGTTTATTGGTGCGACTGAGTGAAGTATATGTTCTATGTCGTAAACTGACCATCTTCAAACCGTTTTGACGACAAGTCATTCATCGCTTTTATTTCGCTTCCACTACTAGTATAAATGGAACGCTGATTTTCTTTGAATATAACTTATATATATCGAAGTTATAACTTAGAATTTTTCTATTTCGCTACTATATAAGTCATCGAAGCTTGTCTGGAGGGAGTAATCTTAGTGCATGGACGTGTACTAGTGATAGTACCATACTCCTGAGACTAGTAAATCATGGTTCAAAGTCCCGAAAATTGAAAAAAATTCAGAAAATAATATTTTTCAGTTCATGATAAAAAATAACGAAATTTGAAATACGTACTGAAAACGGTCTAAAAACGGCCCGTTAACAGAACATTTACGGCATGTTAACCGTGCGTTAACGGCCCGTTAACGATGCCGTTTTCGACAATCTGGGTAATATTACGAAGCATAGGATTACGGCGTCGTAAAACGATTTTACGGCCGTTTACGGGTCGTGTGGAATCATCTAGGTTATAAGCCTCAGAGGAAATTGTAAAAAACAGTCATAAGTGACTATAATTAGTTTAAGCCGCAATCATTTCAAAAGATTTCTAAAGACAATCAATAATTCTAAGTTATGCCACTAGCTATATCTTATATCTAGATTTGAAAAATATTCTTTTTGAATGCCATTACACATGTATAATTAAGCATATTTTAGAGAGCAACTTTTGATATTAATACTCTACAAGTTGTATTCTTGTCAGAGCCTGGAACGAATCGAATGATTCGACATTCGTTTCGGTTCGATTCGGCTGCGTTCCAAACCGGGCCGAGTTTGATTTTTGAAACACGAATCAACCGCTCAGTTAAAACGCTTTGTTTAAGCTAAGCTACAATGACATTGTATAAAGTAGCTACTAGCTGTTATAACGCTCAGAAACATATAATCGCGTTAGAAAGAGTAACATATAATATCTTCTACCGAGTGATTAAGATATCTAATCAAATTCATTTTCAAAGATAGAATTTTTGAGAGCGTAGAAAGGATGTCGCACATAACCGACATTCCCTTATTTTTTGTGTGTGCACAGAGATAATCCGGGCCGTATCGACTGAAGACAGTCTTGTCATTTTTTCAATTGATGACAAAATCAATGAAGCAATGCTTTGGCAGCATTACTGTTTGAATATGCGAGTATATTTCTCTCATGTTCGTATGTGTGTGAGTCTTTTCATTCTTTACTCTTATGGATAGCAGCAACGAATTTTAATCTCATACATTCCATTTTCAAGGTGTGGCACTGATGAGGGATGGATTGGGGTAGATGAATCATTTAAGTAGTGTTTCGGCGGGTGGCGAGCATCTATCTATTATATAATGGCACTGTTCATACTAAAACTAGCAAGAAAAATATGACTAAACTCAATTTTTTGCGTTAATATGCAGCTGCAGCAGCTCCATCAGTTATTACAGGAGCTGAAACATGGTTAGATTCTTATGATTTAGATTGTGCTTTAAAAATTGATGGCTATTCTACTCTTTTTCGACGTGATAGGAACAATCATGGTGGAGGCTGTATTGTCTATGTGGCTGAGGGTTTAGAGGCTGAAGATCCAATTTTTGAAGTGTTATTTTTTAAAATAATGGTTGCACCGCATAAATGCTATGTAATTGCCACTTGTTATCGTCCGGATTATCATTCTATTACTGATTTTCTGCAGTTTCTTGATTTATCCTCGTCTAATATTAAATTAAAGTACAGAAACCTTGCAGGAATATTGTTAGTAGGCGATTTCAATGCACATTGCAGTACGTGGTGTCCAACGAAACTGTCGACCACAGAAGGAAAGCATATGTTTGATTTTGTCGTACAGAGTAATATGCATCAGCTAGTCAACGAAGTTACTAGGACAGTATCCAAAACATGCCTTGATTTAGTTGTGTGTGACTCCCTAAGTGTTATAAATGAATGTCGTGTACTTCCACCCTTAACAAGTAAAAATGATCATAAACTATTATCCATTGAATTGAATATAAAATTAGACCCGGTTCCTAGCAGTCAGCGACGTATCTACAATTATTCTGCAGCTGATTGGGATATGTTGAGAAACAACATTTCTCTGATTCCGTTTAACAATATTCTTAAAAATTATTCTTTTGTGAACGAGAGGATGTGTGTTTTTCAGGATATTCTTCTAGAACAAATGAATCAGCATGTTCCTCATAAGATTGTAATTACTAAATCTAGAGATCAGATATGGTTTAATGATGCTCTTCGGAAACGATGCAGTAAGAGCAACAATTTATGGAAGAAATATAAAAGCTCTACTTCGGGTACGGCTGCACAGGAGAATTATCATCAGAAATATTTAACTGCTGTCACTGTTTTTTGAGAATGAATGTGCTAAAGTTAAGCAGAAATATTTTTCTTCTATGTCTGCTCGTGTTAATTCTTCATCTAAAAAATGGTGGACTCTAGTTAAGGGAGCTTTAGGAAAGAACAAGACGGCATCGATTCCTACTTTAAGAACAGATCAAGGAGAGCAAATCAAAGATCTTGCTGAAAAGGCTGAAGTTTTGAATCAATACTTCGCACAGACATGTACAATGCCCAAATCCTTATGCGACAAACAGCTACCAGCTTTTCCTATTCGTACAACTAAGCAATTAACTAAATGTGTTGTGTCGGAAAATGATGTCTTCAAAATATTATCTCGTTTAAACATCAGCAAGGCGGGAGCTCCGGGATTAAATAACAGAGTACTTAGAGAACTAGCACCAGTTATTGCGTCTCCTTTTGCACAGTTGATTAATGGTTCTTTTGCATCAGGTGTGTTCCCAGCTTGTTGGAAACTTGGTTTTACCAATGCTCTGTACAAAACTGGTCACGCACACTTGAAAACAAATTATCGTCCCATTATTCTACTACCCGCTCTCTCGAAAGTATGTGAACGACTTGCACATCGCACGTGTATGATTATTTGATAAGTAATAACTTGATTAGTGTACGTCAGTCAGGTTTTAAGAAACGAGATGGAACTATTACGCAATTGCATGAAATTATTCACTATATAAACAAAGGAATGGATGAGAATGGTTTTGTCCAAGGTGTATTTTTGGATATAAGCAAAGCCTTTTATACTGTGTGGCATCGTGGCTTGTTGCATAAACTGGAAAGTTATGGTATTAAAGGATCATTACTGCAGTGGTTTAAGTCATATCTCTCAGACAGGCGGATTGTTACTGTGGTTTCGGGTACAACCTCGACAGAGCGGAAAATTAATTCAGGTGTGCCGCAGGGTTCCGTGTTGGGGCCGTTACTGTTTTTGTTGTATATAAATGATATTGGTGACAATCTGGAGAACCTTTGTAAGTTGTTTGCTGATGATACCTGTATTTTTGGCAGTGGTCGTGATCGTAAGCTATCAGTTGACTCGCTGAACAGAGATTTGCAACGTTTGTCCAATTGGTCTGATACCTGGTCACTTTTGTTCAATGTGACGAAGTGTAAATCGATATTATTTACGAAAAACCGCAGGCTTGCTTCACCGACACTTGTTATGAATAATATTCCTTTGAGTGATGTAGATGAACATGTCCATTTAGGTCTGTTGTTCTCAAAGGATATGACTTGGACTAAACACATTGATAGGCTTGTACCCAAAGTTAATAGTTTGATAGGATTGATAACTCTGACAAAATGGTCGATGAACAGACAGGCGCTTGAGATAATTTATAAAAGCTATGTATTATCTACTCTGAATTACGGTGCTACATTGTATTCTTTGATCACTGATTATAATCTGCTAAAGCTTGATGGTATACAAAGGAGAGCAGCTCGAGTAGTCTCTGGTGCAATCAGCAGAACATCTACTTCGCTCTTGCTAAACGACTTACACTGGCTGCCGATTCGAGTACAGTTCTTACAAATGCGATTAATTTTGTTCTTTCGTATAACACGTGGCCTTACAGCTCCTTACTTACGGGAACATATACAACTCTCAGTTTCCAATTCTAATTATAAACTACGTGTTGGAAACCGAAAAAGGTACACAGTTAGGAATTTGACTACCAAATTACTTAGTAACACGTTTTTTGCTAAATTGCCTATAAAGTGGCACGAGATACCCGATGAGATTACTGTGATACCAAAACTAACATCTTTCAAGAAAAAGCTTAGTGATCACTTTTACTCATTACATTTGACATGTGATTTGCGAAGCTGTTTTCGTATGAATGTACTGCGGAAACTTGAAGTAGCCTACACAAGATGTAGAATAGGGCTTAATTCCTTTGAAACATTGTTCGAAGGCAAAAGGGCTTCTACCCATCGATGAAACAGACTTATGCACTTGCGGATTGCGTGAAACTCTAAAGCATTATTTTTTACTCACGACAAATCCTCTTCCATTCACTACCGTAGTTTGGCACTATAAATATGGATCTCCTGCTTCTGCGATGCCCACTTCACACTGATGACATGCGGTTTGTTTATAGGGCTGTTGTTGAATACATTAAATGTACAAAGCGTTTTTGATTTTGTGGGTAGTAAAGACTACTTCCTACTCTTTCTAATCTTTATGATATTCATTTTTATCTTAGCACCAACTCTATGTTATAATAACATAGTGTTTTGCTGCCTCCCGAGCTTGCTTTCATGTTGTCTACTTTATCCTCTCTCACTGCCACACACACACTAGCCACCCTCCCATCGTTGCTTCTGTTCCTTTAATCGTTACTTTAATAGCTACTCTGTATCAACATCTTTGAAAAACTGTTTGTTTCTCTTTGTTTTTTGTTTTTTTTTCATTTTACCCATCACTACTCTCTTCTTCTTTCTTTTTCTTGTTTTGGTTGGTCTCTGGTATGTAACAACGGAAGTGTTTGCTCACCTCTGTAATGGCTTTTGTCGCTTTGGATGGCATAAAGTCTAAGGATATTTTTTTTTAAATAAAACTGCTTATAAAAAATACTGCGTCCGCTCTTGTGGTGAAATACGGATCGTTAACGGTCAGTATTCCACCGTTTACAGCTGTAATGTTGCCGTTTTTTTTACCGTTTACTGCCGTATTACGATCTGCAAGCGGCACCGTTTTGACCGTCCTGGGTAGCTCAGCTGTGGTTGAACGAGAAGTCAGCACCGCTGGTCAAATTGTTAACCAACTTCGTTCACGTTTAGATCCATCAAGTGTCAACAACATATTATTTTACGTTCGATCGAAAATAATAATAAACAAAAAGACTAATCATGCGAACAAGACATTTGTTTATTTTCTTCTCCTTGTTTGTTTTGTTTTATTTCATGTTTCAAAGTTTTAGTCACATAAATGATATGTTCTGCTCCAGTAGGAATGCACCAAACCCGAATATTTGTGTTTAGTGAAGGATTTGAGATTTGTAACGTCCAACAGTTCGGGTTT